CAAGAAATTGGTTGACGGCACCAACTCGGCTGTTCCTGGTGAAGAAAGCAAAACTAACTGAGCTACAGGACCGACGTCTTTCTTACTTGCTGCTACTAAAAGATGATTGTTTATGACCTGATTATTTTTAAAATAACAGTAAAATAATGCAAGGATTATATACATTTTGGATTTTACTAACTGCCTACAATCCCCAAATACGTAGATGACACTGGTTTCATCCTCTCATTTCCTTCTTGGCGTTACAAGTGTCTGCTTTTGAAAATATTTCTTCAATATTCTGTTTCCAGTCCTTGTTTTTTCCTATCTAGATGCGAGGTGTATGATAATTGATCAAGCCCAGTATCCTTGTGAAGGTACTATACGTATTTCTTGAAAAAGAATAGTTCGCGTTTGGCTACGGCTGCTTTAATCCTGCAGTCCTAAACATTGGATACGTGGTTGGGTACTTCTCAGACACGATCTGGACCTGGTGACCTAGACAAAAATCCCAACATCCTTTCGGGAATTGAACACAGGTCACCCAGCCTTTAGACAATTAATTTACTTTCGGATCTAACCTTGCTCCTTATTACTTTGTTTCTTCAACTATATGTAACTTGCTTGTTTTATTGTGGAAATGTGTCAACAATGCATGGGTTTTTTCAAAATTCGATAAACGTGGGAGTTTCAAGTGGCTCGTACAACAACGTTTTCTTTAATAATGACGTGAAATTTAAGGTAGGCATTGTAAGAGCAGCATGAGCAGCATGGAGATACCTAGTTCAAATCTCTGTCAGAGCACTAACATATAAATCCTTTGTGGTCTTTCTCTGCCGCTTTAAAACAGTATCAGTATCGCCCTGATGACAGAGGCAGTATGACCTCCGAAACGTTGGTAAACATCGACCAGACTACACAGAGCAACAACCCAGAAGACAGAAATCTTCATACTCATCGCCCTGATGACGGAGGCAGTATGACCTCTGAAACGTTGGTAAACATCGACCAGACTACACAGAGCAACAACCCAGAAGACAGAAATCTTCATCGCCCTGATGACGGAGACAGTATGACCTCTGAAACGTTGGTAAACATCGACCAGACTACACAGCGCAACAACACAGAAGACAGAAATCTTCAGTATCAATATATTTGGTCACCGTCCATAACCACTTGCATGCAATTCAAAGCTAAAGCAGAAAATGAACGTTCTTCGCTGGATGTGGGCAGGTCATAATCGAAAAAAAGACACATCATCAAAATTCGTCTTCATTTAATTCCACTGACGAAAATGAGGTGTCACTGCTTGCGGGAGCTCGTTTAAGAATGTTTAAGGGCTAGTGAGCACGAGCGGTTTTTCAGCCGCAGCGGTAAAACTAGCGCAACCGTATATTCTTGTTGCATGTGCACACGGACGGTGAAATAAACGCATTGTCTGCGTTTTCTATTCAGTTGGCAGCTGAATTTTGTGGAGACAGTTGGCGTGTGCTCTAGGCTAATAAGTCGAAGCTTGTATATTTTTGATACTGTCGCTGTGTACGCTTTATGCTAAGAGCAAGGGCAAAGCGTAGGAAAAAAATTTCGGTTCCCTGGACTTCTAAGTAAAAGATTGTTGAAAGCCGGATTTCAAAGTTATATGAGGACCTGCATATGTATCCAAAGAAATTATTCGGATACATTTTTTTAAGTTGGCTCGAGTTCGGCAGTATTGCTTCACAGACTTCTATCCACAGTTTCCCTATATTTTCTGTCACTGTACTCCGATATGGCCGAACTGTTCAGTGTCGGCATTTTCTCCTCTTCAGTTACACCAAGGTCGGGCTTCACCGCTCGTGCGCGCACACACTGGTAGGGTTCTTCGTGTTCTATTGCCACCGCCATCAGCTGTGCGGCCACCTCACCGCATCGAAAATGAAGCATGTTGCGGCAGAAAAGCCGCAGCGGTAAAACTATCGCACGTGCCCTCGCTTCCTACTGAAACAGTGCGTTCCATCAATGCGGCAGAAAAATCGCTGCGGCCCAAATCTCTCGTGTGCGCATGGTCTAAGAATTCAACCCGTAAAGAAACACAACACTTCCCGACGAGATTTAGACCCGTTCTCTTTAGGTATGCGCTCCCTTGGTGCGAATGAAATATTTAGCATCCTTAAATCTATAAAAATGCCTTAAAATCTAATTTGTCAATACCCTATATACCCTTTATGTTAGTAATAAACTTAAACATGTGAGGTACCTTTTTTAATGCGTTGTATGTATGTAATTTAACGCGATTAGTGTGCTTTCTTGTTTATTTTTGGCCTATATATTTTAAAATAAGCTATTGGGTATGCCTGAAGTCATTATAGTTTATCATTTATCAGTGTAAAAATTAATTTAGCATAATTGTTTTTGGTCAAATTTTCTTCGTAAACACGGAGGAAAGCTCTGTGAACATCGAGTCCGCGGTTTCCACTTCGGAAAACACTGACAGGAAACATAACGTTTCTAAGCAGTCGTGCAGTCGTATGTATCAATCAGAATTTATTATACGGGCATTCAGATACATACAGTTCGGCAGAAATAAGCGTGAGAAAAAATATACTTTATTTGACCTCAAAAATTTTAAAGGCCTATATAGGGCCTAACCCTTGAAATTGTATTGTGGTGATCTTGACATAAACTTGAACTATGCGTGCTCTCAAATTGACACGTGTGTCTTCCTTCAGATACTTACAGTTCGGCAGAAATAAGCGTGAGAAAACAAATCTAATTTAAATGACCTTGAAAATTTTAAAGGCCTCTATTCGGCAAACCCATGGGCTGATATTGTGACATTGCCATGACCTGAAACTGGCTTGTGTATAGTCACTCAGATACGTACAGTTCGTCAGAAAAAATGACTGAAAATACCTTGAAAATTTCAAAGGTTCGTGCTCAGTGTTCATCTGACAGTTTCGTGTTATTGGCTGCAATCGGGCCTGCGGTTCATACAAAGTCGTAAGATGTTCACACACGAAGGAATTTGCTATTAAGCAAAGTCTCAACAGGCGAGGGAAATTTACCGAGTGAGAGGTCAATAAGAACACCAGTTATGCTTTATTCAGTTTATTCGCACGGCAGTAATGACCAGTACAGTAATAAGAAACAAAACTGTATAGCGCTGAACTATTTTGTAGCGGGGCTGATCTTGGACCGGATACACTGGCGTGCAGTCTGGATAACCTTTACGGCTGTGGCTATTGCGTTATCCTCCACCAAGATTGAACAATCCTGGAACTCTTTGACGACCTGGCTGGCCTTCGTTTCGTAGTCGCTGTCGGCCACGTACCGGTCTCTCGCCGAGAACACTTGCTTCTTAACCTTCGCAGTGCAGGAGACGATACCTCCCAGCGCCAGAATGCATGATGTTAGGTTATTCTGAGCTTCCGTCATGAGTTGGTAGGTCTTCTGGATTGTCTGCTGGAGGTTGTTTCTGTATGGCTGCAGCTCTGTATCCACCTGATTGTAGCAGGCCTGCGCCCCCTCTCCTGATACAGACAGCAAAGTTACATGCTGGGTGACGATCCTAACCTATTCATATTTCATATACCCCCAAGATCTAGTTTTATCAATAATGTGTTGTAAAATACAGAATAGTGGTTGTAGAGTGGTTCTAAAGGACCCAACTGAGGAAACAAAAACCACTTTTTAACCAAAGGACTGAAGCAGTTCCAGTTTCCCGAAAGTTCTGTTCTTTTTCCAGGATACCATACAACGGACAAAGTCCAGAAATCCAGTAATAGTACGTAATAAAACTGTAATATAATATCATCACATCCCCTTAGAACTGAGACAGCCGAGAATTTTGCATAGGGAAATACATAAATAAAATTTGATTGAAACAACGTGTGTTCTGATCTAAATGGAACGTGGGTCGCTTATTTTCCTAACAAATAACTAACTCCATTGCACAGAGGCTTTAAATGTAACAATCACTACTTGATGCGCATATTAACCATGTTAATATAAGAACGTCGATCCTGTTTCAGGAAGAACTTGGGATAAATATTTATCACAGATCTACAGCTAAATTCGTTGCAGTGTATAGCAGAGGATCATAATTTCTCACCTGTTTTCTTTACCTTTTTCCAAGATATTCGATTTACCCGTGTCGAAACATGGAACGCTGTTATATACAGTACAGGAACAAATAACACGATGTTTATGTAAACCATTCTGATATATATATACCTTGTTATATATATATATATAAAAAACAAGGTATCACGACAGGAACAGATTATTCTTTACCTGCTTTCTTTACCATTTCTGAGATATTCGGCTTGCCCACGTCGAAACACGGACTGATGTCAGTGGCTACGTCAACCGGAACTACTTGCGAGATGGCCATATCAATCTCCTTCACCAGTCCGAGAATACCTTCTGGATCGGAACTCTTGTACTTCAACTTCTGAAGTAACTTATCGGCCTTTTCGCCTGAGCCTGTAAGGACGTTCTGGAGGTTACTTATCACAGTTTTAATCTCGGTCAGTATAGGAGTCGTCAGAGGTTGGACAGCCAATCCAAGCAACCCAGAGCTCACAACCTGAAAAGACATTCAAATGCATGTTTAAAGTATCTCGTATGTTTAAAAGGATACAGCTAACAAATCAACTATGTCGTTCTGGTCCCCTGACGTAAATATTTAAATATAACAGTAATACGAAGTGAGCCGATACCGGACGGGAGCGAGTCAACTTCAAGGAAGTTCTGAAGCTAAACTTTGTTATTCGATAAGTGTTGTCGTGTATCATGTAAACAGAAAAATGACGCTAACCCCTTATCGAATTAATAAACTGACTTCCTAATTAACTCACTGTTGCATGAAATTTCCAAAGCATTCGAGTAATAGTCTTATACACTTGCTAAACAAATTTCCTGTTGTTATAAAGATATGTTAAACATTTCGAAGTCCTATGTTATACTTTCATCTCAGATAGTTTACCCTAGTTTAAATCCCCACATCATAGTTTCGTAAGATCTATTTTAACACTGTGATGAGAATATTAGCCAGTATTAGACTTCCTTCATACTTGTCATGAAATTTGTGTGCTCTAAAATTTCTACCTACTTCTTTCTCAGCAAGAATCTATACAAAACGAAACATGAGTTGGTACCTTCGTTGAGTATTATATAATGACTCAACGTGTCATGCAGAAAAGTAGATTATACACAAGTTTTGGAACGCGTATTTTCAAAACGTGTTTCTTTCGATTTTGCGTAGTGTTTTGTTCTTTCTGTTCATGTATTGAAGTTAAAAGACTATCCTGTACTTACCGGTACTTATATTATTTTGAAGCAAATCGGATACTGCGCGGCATAATCGATAATTACTTTTATTTGTTTTTAATGAAACATAAACCATACTGGAAAATGTTCAGACCAAATTTCTTACAGTAATTACATAAGGTCACAGTATTTTGTATGATTTTTGTGTTCGATCAGCCGTTTATGAATAAACAGATATTACTATAGATCTGAACTTCATGTACAGTTTAGATTATAGTAAACGAATAGAATTCAAATTTAAGTTATCAGGCAATCTTCGGCGGAGACCATTCATCCATCCATTCCTTCATTTATTTATTTAGTTAATTTCTCTATACAGAAGACTGTCCGACTAAAACCTGGTTTCAGCGGACTTCCAGTTTATTACGCTCTTCTGGTGCTACACAGGCGCACAACATTATTCTTCTAACTAGACACTCACCCTTCATTTCGGTAATTTTGTTCCCCCATATACAATTATTCTTCAGTAATCCTTAATTTTACAACATTGGTACATTTTATCAATTATCTTACAAGCTACTTCATAGTTTATAATAAACCAATTCGTACAAAATGTCAACAAATTCTTCAAATAATTTCGGAGATAAAACCTGTGCACTTCCCTTACCTACCGAATAGAAATTATTATGCTGGTGGATAACATATATTTGAATTTTAAGCAGATGTTGCTCTGACTTCCAAAAAAATATCGTACTTACATGAAGCATACATATAGCAGAGAAAGTGATGTATATTTTGGCAACCATTTTGTACGTTGTTGCCTTGTAGTCTGATGGAAGCAGAAAAAATGTGTCTGTAGCAGTGTTTCTCGCAATATATATACACAAACCAAACTAATGTAGGTGCCGAAATGTCATAAAGAATCCGTGTGTTATATCAGGCTTTGTCAATAAGTACTGTGTGACACAGTGCAAAGAGAAACGGTTCAGTAGCTGTGTAAATAACGAACATAAATTAACAATTTCTACGTCTCAGTCAACAGTAATATGTTTCGTTCCGCATTCATCCTTGTCACAATCATTAATGAGCTAGCTGGTGTGTAGTCTCTGTTAAAGGAATGTCAGTTTGACTAACTCCAGAAACTTTCTTTATAAGTTCATAATCGCTCACGTGGCCCAGAAATCCCCTACCTTCATTACCGAGTCCACAAAGCTAGCCATTGCATTTTATCTTGAATTAAATTAATATAGTCCACACTTTCATATTCAGTTTCTGTAAGGTACTTAGCTGACTAAAAATAATACAGCCGTAGCCGCGCGGTCTGAGGCATCATGCTTCGGACCGGCGATACGGAATGCGCGCCGGTTCGAGTCTCGGGGGAGAAGAAGTTTTCTCATGAGCTTTCGACCAGTGTATGGGACCGGTGCCAACCCAGCATCGTGAGGAAATTGGGGAGCTACAATGAGTAGCGTAATCCGGTCAGGAAAACTAGCAATGGCTGGGGGTTCGTCGTGCTGACCACAC